TGGTGCAAAGAGGTTGGAGTAACCAGAGGGAAATGTGCTAACATCAGCAGAGATGGTGAGTTATAAATATCTCCTCTGTCCTGCTCTTAGCCCTTCAAGTGTTGTCTGGGCTAGCTGAGACGTGGTTGATCCTTTTAAAGTCCTAGGTCTGCACAGGATTTCAACACCTGACTCTTTCCTGCTGTCTTTTCTAGCGACAAAGTTTCCGTCTCCATCATCTACCATCCAGGGAGATATTTTTACTTTTATGCTCATCCCTTCTTCTCCAAGACCTCATATAGGTGAGATGGAGAGCCCAGTATGCACTGGAAAGGTTCATTATGCCCGAAGGAAAAGCAAACATTGATTTAAGCAAGTTTAGGGTTCACTGTTGACAATGAAATGATGGTAAAGTTCTCCAGCAAAAAAAAAATCTCAACAAATAAAAAAAGAGAGAGAGAGAAAGAGGAGAGAGAGAGAAAGAGAAAGAGAGAGAGAGAGAGAGGGAGAAGAGAGAGAAAACGGGAGGTGAATAGTGTGTCCCGTGAAACATCTTTGCCATTCAGGGAACTATAGAAATGGTTTGTTATCTGTTGATGAGGATGTGTATAGTATTTTCAACTGGACTGAGATATGTATCATGCTGAGTAAAATCTCTTTACAATCTAAATGATGTATAGTGATTGAATGTATAAATAATCGTAATTTAAAAAATAAAAAAAATGTTAAAAAAAAAACAAGAAGAAATAGCTTATTGGCTGTGAAGGAAAATGCAATGCAGTCATGGTATTTAATTTTGTTTTATACATGAGAGGTATTCAAATATGTTTTTGTATTGCTGGGAAAGGTCTAAGGTAAAGAATTCATTTTTAGAAAGAATTATTTATTTAATTTTATTTCTTCTTATTCTTAATTCCTATAGGGCACATGCACTCACTCTAGAGAGACAGAGAGAGAGAAAGCTGCCAGGTCCAAGACTCGAATCGCAGACACCATGTGGGAGTCCAGACCCTTAACCAACATGACACCTGCTGGCCCCAAAGAATTCTTGTACTTAATACTTTGCAACGGCAGTTTTTGAGACATATGTTCTGAAGAATATTCTCTCCCTCTAGGTATTCCTGTGACAAAAGTTACTAGGTGAAAAGATTGATCCATATTCCAACTGTTCTCTAAGGAACTGAAACATAACCTTGTTATATTCTAACGTCTGAGTATACTCAGTCTTAACTGCTGGTTCATTAAAAAAATGGTAACTGAACATCTGTTCCATGTGAAATCTTAGTTGTATTCTGATATGCTGGAGACTTTGTCTGTTATTAATCCACGTTTGTAGGTTGATTTGGCAGCCATTCTGGGTACACTGGTCACCTCATCAATGTAGCTAGGTGATAAGAAAAAAAGGGTATTAACAGTCCCCAAGGGCCATGGTGCTCTGTGCGTGTGTGTATGTGGGTGTTGGTGATTTCCCTTTGGATTGAGAGCAGTCCTCAGAACAGAGGTACTAAGGGCTTACATTTTTGCTGTTTGTTTGCTATATAACATGTGCGATTGCTGGAGAGAGAGAAAGTGAGTATCATCCCCCAGGGGAGATGTCACAGTGTAATCCCTTTTCCTCTATTCTCTTGGAAATGTTTGGAGCCCACACACACACACACACACACACACACACACACATATATCTCCAGCATTGGTTTTCAAGCCACCAGGTCTAGGACTCAAACCACCAAGTTGGCCATGTGGGATATTTAGCCACCACGCCACCTGCTGGCCCAGGCTCACATTTTTCAAGATGCATCTGTAGTAAAGGGGAGCTCAACCATCCGATGATGGTAAGGATATTAACTGTGTCAACTCACAGAATGCCTTTATAATAAAATTAATAGATTGCAAGAGGTACAGAGTACGGGCAAAGGTCTCCCTGTGTCTTGAAGTTTCAACAGTAACAGGAAGGCCACTTCATTCTTCAACAGCCTCTATAATAATTTCTTACCACTCTCTCTCTTGCTCATGGACCTTCTTGCACTGGCTCCTTGATGGCTTTGAGCATCTAAACCAAGCACAACCTTAAAGATCTTTGCACTGGTATTCCCTCTATCAGGTGAGATATTGGCACTTAACTTTCTGGCTCCTGCCCTATCTTCTAGAGAGTTCGATTCAAATGTCATCTTCTTTGACAGTCTTACCTGGAGTCCCACAAGAAAATAGCATCCTCTATCCAGTCTCGTCTTTGTAACTGCCTTCATTTTTTTTTCAAAGCACATTTCTTTTTTTTTAAAAAAATATATTTCTCTTATTTTCTTTTATCCATTCAATCACTATACATCACTTAGCTTGTAAAGTGTGTTTTCCAACATGAATTCATTTCACACCAGTCCAGTTGGGGATACTATACATGTTATCATCAACAGATAATAACCCATTTCTGTGTACATTTCAACCAATGAATGTTACATGATCATTTCTTTTCAACAGCTTTGTTGAGATGCAATTGCTATGCAAAGGACTATACATAATTGTGTACAATCATATATATATGTATACACACACACACATATATATGCCTATGTATAAATTATTTATTATTTATTTAATTTTATTTATTATTAATGTTCGTCTTGACCAGAATGAGAGAGAGTGAGAAAGAAAGCCACCAGTTCCAGGACTTGAACCATGCTCTGCCATGTGGGAGTCCAACGCCTCAACCACCATGCTACCTGTTGGCCCCAGATATTATTTTCTTATCTGCTTTTATTCTTTCTCCCTTACTGGAATGTAAGGAGTTGTTTTCAATTTCCTCCAGCCATTGCCTGAACAATGTCTAGAACATGGTCAGCAATCAATATATATTCCTCAAATGTAAGAAGTAATTTCTTATTAGATTGTAGCAAATATGACATCTTAGGCAAAAGACTCAGAGTAGGACAGAAACTCCTTAATGATTCTAGAAATGCCTTGATAGACACAGGTCCATAAGAAAATACAAAACTTACTTTTCTTGATTGAAAATATCTATTGTAGCATTACAACTGTATCAATAATGCCTGTTTGTATGCAAGTAATCGTAATTTTTTTTTTCTTTCCTGATACTAACATCCAGCACATGGAACCTAAGAATAACACAAAAATTTCAGAATTCCTTCTTCTGGGACTCTCAGAAGAACCAGAATTGCAGCCCCTCCTATTTGGGCTTTTTCTGTGCATGTACCTGATCACTGTATGTGGAAACCTGCTCATCATCCTGGCCACCATCTCAGACTCTCACCTGCACACCCCCATGTACTTCTTCCTCTCCAACCTGTCCTTCATAGACATCTGTTTTACCTCCACCACCGTCCCCAAAATGCTGGTGAACATCCAGACACAGAACCAGGTCATCACCTATGCAGGCTGCATCACCCAGATGTTCTTTTTTCTACTGTTTTCAGGATTGGACAACTTTCTCTTGACTGTGATGGCCTATGACCGGTATGTGGCCATCTGTCACCCCCTGCACTACACTGTCATTATGAACCCCCAGCTCTGTGTATTGCTGGTTCTTACAGCCTGGATCGTGAGTGCCCTGCATTCTTTGTTACATAGCTTAATGATATTACAGCTGTCCTTCTGTCCACATGTGGAAATCCCCCACTTCTACTGTGATCTTAGTAAGCTGGTCCACCTGGCCTGCTCTGACACCTTTCTTAATGACATGGTGATCTATTTTGCAGCTGCGCTACTGGGTGGTGGTCCCCTTGCTGGGATCATTTTACTCTACTCTAAGATAGTTTCCTCCATTCGTGCAATCTCATCAGCTCAGGGGAAATACAAAGCCTTTTCCACCTGTGCCTCTCACCTCTCAGTTGTCTCCTTATTTTATTGCACAAGCATGGGTGTGTACCTTAGTGCTGGGGCTACCCACAGCTCACACTCAAGTGCAGCAGCCTCGGTGATGTACACGGTGGTCACCCCCATGCTGAACCCCTTCATCTACAGTCTGAGGAATAAAAATGCAAAGAGGGCCCTGAAAATAGTCTTTGGAGGGAAACTTTACACGGATCCATTGTCCTGGGACTGACAAATTTCCCCTGATTGCAGGGCTCAAACTATCAGTAAGATATTGTGATTGTTTGATAAAATTAGGGAAGGAGTACTTTTCTTTATTTTCTTTACATTTTTCTAATTGTATAATTTATATTTAAGCATTGTAATCTTTATAGCATACAATAGCGTTTTTCAAAGCATGTGTGCAGTGCATGTCGGTCAAATCATAGATATAACCATAGGTATCATCCTCAACAGACAATTTTGTATTCTTGTGTCTGTTAAATGTTTTGTTTCCGGAGTGGAAGTAGTACTTTTTCTTTCTGTTTATTTTCAGAACTTGCCATTAATTTGAGTTTTTTTATGAACAAGTATTTTATTAGGATGTGATTCTTTTTTTTTTTTTTTGAAGTGAAAGATACAAAGACCCTAACTGGTCTTCAGATATGTTTGTCAGTTCTTGATCAGTTGAAAAACAACAAGGAAATCAGCAATCAAAGAATTACAGAAGAGTAATGATTGTTCAGTTGATTTTATATCTCTGTACAAGTTAAGTAACTAACTCTAAAGCTTTCTGATCTCTTTGATATCCAATGGTTTTTTTTTTCCTCTATCATTTCATCATTTCTCAAAATTATCTCAATCTGGATGTGTATAGTAGTCTAAGCTGGGCTGGACTGAGTACCAGGACCTCATGCTGAGTACCTCATGCTGGGTAAAGTCTCTTTACAATCTAAATGATGTATAGCAATTGAATGTATACACAATAATAATAAATAAAATGCAAAAAGGAGTTATCCTCAATCTTGCATACGAGTTATTTGTACAGGAGGCTGACAGGTGGTTAAGGTGCTGGATTCCCACATGGCTGACCACAGTTTGAGTCCCAGACCTACCAGCTTGCTTTCTCACTTTTCCTTTCTCTCTCTGTCTTTCTGGTCAAATTAATAACAGTAAATAATTCTTTAAAAATAGTGGGACCAGCAGTTAGCGTAATGGCTATGTCGTTGGACTCCCATGTAGTCGACCGCGGTTCGCGTCCAAGACCCAGTGGCTTAAAACTCATGCCAGGCGCGTGTGTGTGCATGCCCAAGATCCCGAGAGGAGAATGGAGGAGAAGGGATTGCAGCGTGGCCATCCCCCCTGGGGGTGATTTCTTGCTTTCTGTCTCTCTGTCTCTCTCTGCCTGTCTGGCGAGTGCACATGCCCTATAGCAAAAAAATCTCTCCAAAAAAAAGAAAGAAAAAAGAAAAAAAAATTAGTTCTCTTGGTACACTATGGATTTCTTAAGAATAACTTCTCAAGTGACATAGATCACAGTAATTTTTTTGTCTTTTGTGTTGCTAAGGAAATAGAGTTGTACTTCTCCATGGAAAAAGCTACACTTGGCAACAAAGTCCATTTATATAATTTGTTGCAAAGGAAAATTTGAGAGCATAATTTTTCACAGTTTGGTCCAAAATTCCATTGTCCATTTGTATCTTTTTTTTTTTTTTCAATCCACCCTCATCCCCATTCTCCATGCTTGGAAGAGGTCTGGGACTCTGTATTTTTTTTTTTTCTGGAGGTTTTGCTATAGGGCTGCCAGAAAGGCAGAGAGAGACAGGAGAAACAGAGAGACAGAAAGTGAGAAATCACCCCCAGGGGGGAGTCCAGCAACATAGCCATTATGCCAACTTCTGGTCCTGTCCATTTGTATCTTAACATTCTTCTCGATGAAGTGGACTTTTGCATCTAATGAGTTGTGTAACTGGTCATTGGTATTTATCCTCATCTTTAAGATTTTGTTTCAATTGGAGCTGTGTCCATAGTGCCTACCATAGTCACTGGCAAAACCAGTCCCCAGAAGTATCTATTTCACTATTTTCCTAGGCAGATCTTTTCATAGTCCATAAAACATTTTTGCAATGGTACTATAGTATAAATGGTGAAGAGATTAGTGTTTGCTAGAGATCAGGGACTGGGCAGGGAGGGAAGTGGTTGTCGCTATAATAGAGCAGAGCTAGTGATCCCTGCGTTGATGGAATTATTCTGTATTTTGACTCCTATTTTTTTTTTGGAGAGGTTCTTGCTATACAGTGCATGTGCTCGCCAGACAGACAGAGAGAGACAGAGAAACAGAAAGCGAGAAATCACCCCCCAGGGGGGATGGCCACACTGCAATCCCTTCTCCTCCATTCTCCTCTCGGGATCTTGGGCATGCACACACATGTGCCTGGCATGAGCTTAAGCCACCAGGTCCGGGACTTGAACTGCGGTCGACTACATGGGAGTCCAGCGACATAGCCATTATGCTAACTGCTGGTCCCTCTTGACTCCTATTGATCTGAATATCCTGGTGGTGATCTTGTGCTGTGGCTTTGCAAGTCAATATTATGTGTGAAACAGAAAAAAGGTACATGGATTTCTCTGCATCATTTATTACATGTGCATGTTTTATTTTTTGAAAGAATTAATTCCATTTATTATTATTATTTTCCCCCTGATTTTCTAAATTTAAATTTATTTATTTACATTCATTTACTATACATCATTATAGCATACAAAATGAGATTTTTCCATCCAGAATATACTGTATATTGGCTCAATCAAGCACAGCAACATATGTGTTCTCATCAACAAATTATTTTCCATCTCTTGATTACTGTATATTTTGCTTTTTTCCCCATCCTTGATTCCCTATCACCCTCTGCCATGCCCCACCCTCCTCCCACACTGTCTCTGGTGCCCATGGTTGCTTTCTCTATCTCTTCTTCCCCACATTTTATCGATTCACTAACATTTCTGTGTCCCATAAATCTCTTGGCCTCTCTATTTTTCTCCTTAATGTCTTTCCTCACATGCTCTTCCTCCTCCTTCCCCCTTCCCACATGTTAATAAATTATCCCCAAATAAAGTGCAATTAAAGATTAGAAATAAAAAAGTAAAAAGTGCATAAACTTGCTTTTTTTTTTCACAATGGATATGACATCTTTGCCCTTTCTCATTGAACTGATATTTTCCTTTCTGATGCCTGGATCATGCAACCAGGAAACATGTTAATGGAGTTCCGAACATCCTTTACCGGGTTCATACCCTTCTGAGCCTCAAATTCTGCAGTGGAGTTTATTAGCGCATGGTATGAGATAATTTCAAAAAGTTTCTGGACAAAGGTAAATAAAATATTAGTATATGTTGAAACAAAAAAGTTTTTTTTTTTCAATTCATGTAGTTTTTTTCTTCATAATGTGCTTTTTTTTTCCATGAACTTTTTGGAGACCGCTCTTATGTCCTAATAGAATGGAAATGTGTACAAATTAAGTAAGATAGGGGCCAGCAGGTGGCATGGTGGTTAAGGCACTGGATTTCAACATGGCTGACCATAGTTTGAAGCCTGACCTGGCAGCTTGAAAAACACACCAGGTGCAATGGCACGCTTGCTCAAAATCCCGAGAAGATATCGGAGGAGAAAGGATTGTAGCATGGGTATCTGTATTTATT